GCCTATCATTACGGGCACACAGTTTGTGATGAAGCTTCTGTTGTTAGTTATCAAACCTGGCTATATTTAGGGTTTACCCATTGTTTGTTGACATGCCTTGATGTTGTCACGTTGCATGACACCGACAGCGCGATTTTGTTTACGTTCCTCATCTACCGAGCAAAATGGGCCTTATGTGTAATTTTCAATATTTCCATAATCAAAACTAAAACCTAATAACCTTAAAACTTAATTGAAGACTTTTTCTATTCAAATTGTTATGTATTCAATTGTTCTTTCGATTTATATTAAGTTGTCATTTACGTCACTTTGATCAGATTATAACTCCAAAACGTCATCAGAGCAGATCCTTAACGATAAACGACTGATGTAAACGACGTGTTTACATCTATTTATAATGCATGAAATAACATAGTATATGAGAACGATACACACACGAACTGAATTATCTATAATCGCACAGTAATTGATATGATACAATTTGTGACTTAATTTATATTTATTTTAAAATTTTAATTTCTCTTCTGTGCATCAATTATTAAAAAACGCTAGAGGGTAATAACTCTTAACTGACTTAATGTGTTTTAATGAGTATCAACACCTTTTAGATTTTTTATTTATTCCAATGTTCATTCATACTTAAAACAACATCAAATACCCTTCTGTGAGGAGTAAAAAAACAAACAACAACAAAAAATCAAAACAATTTCTAGAATTTGTAACCAGGTCATTGATTGCGTTGATTATTCGATCAGTTTTAAAGTATCTCAGGGTAACAAATATACATTAAACAATCAATGTGTTATGTACTTGTCTTCCATGAAACTAGAGACCGGAAGGCGCCAGAGATCATTTTTGTAAAGCTCCGCATGTGTAAGCCTTAATTTGTTAGTTATTGGAGGAACACTACAAGTGCTGATAATGGATTTTAGAGTGGTATTGTGGGTACATTGAGAAAAATGCATTGGCCAACATTGTATCGCTCCATCTCCTGAAATCGATAGTACTTTAGTTATATGTCACAAACTGATAAATTTCTCTCTTTAAATCACAACTGCAACAAGCACTGTAACAATAGAGCTGTGTGTTTGTTTAATTCGCTGCTTAGTTTATCAGCCCATGAAAAGCCATATCTCCAATAGGAACTGTTGATTATCTCACTGAATATCAAGGGGAATGCCTTCGGCATGCCATTAAAAGCAATGAATGTTTGAATTTTCTTTGCTGCACAGGGTTACATCGAAGATAGCATAGTACAGACCATTGTCTCAGTTAAGCGAAATAAAACCACTGTGAATGGGACCGAACCAGACGCTATACCAAATCAGTTTTGGCGTTCCTTTTATCAATCTAGAAAATAAGTGAACTAATCAAAACTCATGTTTCATTTGATAACTCGTTTGATGTTTTTGTCGTTACATCAAACCAAGGTAAATATAATACTCTCTGTTATTTTCCTAAAGTGTTACTGCACAGGCAGATACATTATTATAAATGGATACATGTTAACAAAGTTTGTCTGTGTAAACCCGTCGTTTATTGTTTAGAGTTTTGGTGTATCATGACTGTACGTCACTATCATTACTGTACGTTACTGTACGACACTGTCATTATTGTACGTTTCTGTATGTTACTGTACATTACTATCATTACTATACATTGTACGTCACTATCATTACTGTACGTCACTATCATTACTGTAAGTTACTATCATTACTGTACGGTATTATCATTACTGTACGCCACTATCATTACTGTGTGTTTCCGTACGTTACTATCATTACTTTACGCAACTCTACGTTAACATCAAGAAATTGTAAATTCATTAAAAGGGAATTTTAAATCATTAGCAAACAGCTAACTGGAAAGCTACCGGAGAGAGTTTATTATCATACTAAAATTCTCAGTCCTGTCAGAGTGGAAACAACATCGAAGCAAGCCGAAACAAGCGAGTACAAACTCTTAACTAAATTAAGTATACAAATTGTTAATAATGGATGGTTTATAGGACAAATCTCGGGGCTGAATTCCTACCCCTAAGAGAGTTAATCTTCTGCAAACTCACGTGATTGCACATTAATGGCCAAGGAGTTAGCGTACATGACATGGGACGTTTCTATTACAGATACTACAAAATTTATAATTAACATTCAAAACCGTGTCATCTGCAATGTACAACAACGTATTTATATATACATGTAGGTCACGTCATGGTTTGTTTTTCAGTATCATAGATATAAACACACGGATTCAGAAATTATCTGGAATCTAGTCGGAGTGTGAACAGCACGTAACGATGATCCTCCGACTGCATGTATAGTTAGACATTGTCTGTAATAGAAAACTGAAATTACACAGCACATATTTATATAATAAGACTCACGGTCGTCGAGATTTCCACCTCCTGTCGACGGAGTTAAACAGTAGCCGAAGTATGAAATAATTATCGCAATACGGTATATACTACGAAAATGTCTGTTAATTTTTCTAAATGAAAAAAAGAACACCCCACTTTATGTGAAATTGAAACATAACGAAAATGTCTTTACTGATGGTAAGCATGTCGTTGCTATCTATAGTCACTAAGTTGTCACAGGATTGTTTAATGTGAAAATTAAAAAAAAAAAAGTCAATTTCAGATTTGTCTATTGTATATATTTCAGATATTCGTTCTTTAATCGTTTCAGTGGATATCAATCGAAACGTTTGGGTTTTGTTGGTCATTATCATTATACGTCGGTGTAGTCGATTCACATAGACAAATTAAAACGAATTACTATAAATGTCATGACGTCAACATACTGTTAATGTTATGACGTCAAGAAACTATTAATACTATGACGTCACATTACTATTGATGTTCTGACTTCAAAATACTATTAATGTTATGACGTAAAATACCATTATAAGAATTTTAATTCCAATACTGTTAAAGCAAAACATCGGCACGTATTCAGAATTAAAGCACAGACAAGGGTGGAATTTGACTTTAATCCGAAAGTAATTGCTAACTTTAATTTAAGGGATGGTGATTGTCATAAAAGCATTTTTACCATTTTGTTGTAACAATTCGTGTCAACTACAACTGGAAAAAAATCTTAATATTGTAATGCACGCGCTTATCTGGTGATTTACCTTCATCACCACAATCAACCTCAGAGTATTGAAAATATTTCCATCACACAAACAACCTGTCATTTAGAAAATGACGGAAACGTTTTGTATCGCCTTAGAGATTATCTATACAGACATTGTAAAATTCCTATTAAACTTTAACCTGTTAACAGGAGTATGCATTAACATTGTCTAGCAAGTGTATAATTTGAGTTTAAATAAACCGATATAACCCGATGAATATAATGCCCACGTCATCGACCGGCTAATATGTATCTGGTTGCTACCGTTATATGCATTTTGTATTGACATTTCTCTTTCAAGTTGTATCCATTTGATTGAAAAAACGTTCTGGACTCGCTGTGACATTTTAAGTGGTTTTATTCATATTTCTAAGAGCGATATCTTTTTTTGCTGCACTGATATCAAAACTGCGTCATAAAAAAAATTGAAAACAGTTATCTTACAGTGGTCGATATAACTCGTGATACCTATCTTGTTTCAAATATTTTGCACTAGTTAGCACGAAATAAAACTGAGAAGCGAATAAGACATAAAACATGTACCACAGAGAGACAGTATATCGTTTTGTTCTCGAAGGACAGCATACAACGTGGTATTGTGATAACGGAAAACAAGTCAGTATACTTTCTTCGAGCAATTCTGATATAATTGTCGAAACTATATCAACATTTTGTTATTTCAAACGGTGTACTTCAGTTGTACGACTCTATTATGGGGACATTCATATATAACCATAATTCCAATGAGACTAGTACCAAGTTAAAAATAACACGTTCATCTTTACTTATCTGCATTAGGCCCTATCCTATTAAATCCTAAAAGTAAAACACATATTCCCGGCTATCAGAAAAGTTTGTTTTAGCGTGAACGGCGGTAAAATGTGTGACTGTAAAATACGCTGGAAAGTGTTAAGTGAAAATATTATATCTAAAGCAAAGACTAAATTTATGACTGAAGAGACCTTCAATAAGTTTGATGGCAAGGTGTTGTAACAAACTATTGGCATACGTGTACCAATTGGAAAAACCGTGCCTCTATCTTTTCTAACTTGTGTTTTTTAATGCGAAGTTGAATTTGTCGAAAAAAATGTCAGAACAGGTCAAGTCACTTCGAAGTCAGTATATTGTGACAGATTGTCGTTCAATTAAAACACATGTAATGGAATTATATCCATTGTATATTATCATTAAAATTTAGAAATAAAGAGTATGACAGACAGCCTCTTATTTTTTCTACAACACAATTAACAGTAAGAATATTCTACCAAGCTTCACGTTAAGCGCGACGATTTTCATTTCACCATTGTGAAGTTCCCCTCTCTCACTTTTGGCCCGCTATGGGTCTTACTTTGGCAGGCGACTTCATACCGATTCATATATGATCTGGACATCAAACTCGCGTAAACTCGACCAATCTAAATAGGTCAGAATGTATTAACAAGGAAGAACGGCATATTTGAAACCGACTAGAAAAAACATATTGTGATTATGAGTCTGAATACTGTAGACGCACCTAGAATCATACACTGACTATTCCCCAGTGGAAACGTTTTGTTACTATGATGATTCAAGCAACACGAAAATATTTTTGTGAAAATTCAAAACCTTGTTTCATAATTTGTATTAAATTGAAAGAATATATCCGTTATTTCTCTCCTACCCTCATCACAATGAGACAATTTAAAACTAAGTGAAATATAGCAGATGATTGGTCAATATACATATGTATACTGTTTCTTGAATGACACGGTGATCGATCGAGTTTCAGTAACTCATTAATACACCGATAATAGAAAAGATGACTCCGCGGAACATCTCCTGACAGAGGCACCTGTATTGCTCTTTGTAAGGTAGAAAACAGACATGAGGTCAGGCATTTTATCTTTTACAGTGGTTATTGCCGTCACTCTTTTGATGAGAGTTCACACTTCATGCTTTATTGGACATGATCAAACAACATTTATGGACCGCATAAACAATGATAAAATGTTTTGGCAATCACAGGTCTTTTCTGTTTTATCCTGTCTTCGACAGTGTTATCGATTTACCGGTTGTATGTCATTTTTCTACAATGAGATCACAAAAGTGTGCAGTCTTCAAAGTATTGTTTATCTCTTTGAGGAACAAGCATCTACTGAAACAGGATCAAGGTACTTTATACCGATACAAAGTGGTAAGTATTTTTAGTTCACATCTTTGATGAAGTAAGTATTGACGCAAGTTGTGATGTTTTTATATATCTTTCTTATTTTGACGTTTAATATGTGCATTGTGTGTTGAGTTTTCTTCACCCTAATACTTTTTGTGGACAAGCGAAATTGGAAAGACCTATCATCACGCTATCTATACATGTTTGCATACTGCATCGTTTAGAATGTTTCGAGTGAATACCTAACCTCTCAGCGGTCAAACCAAAAACGTCTAAACAAATATCGCTTTTCTTTTTTCAATTCAAATGTTTTAACGTCTCTAACAACTCCCTTATAATCATGTAATTACAACGTAAAACAGGAGGAAGACATTAAATTTGGATTCCTTTCTATCTAAGTGACTCGACATGTTGTAAATATAATTACGTATCACATAAAACTAAACGAAATGTCGGGAAACCAATCAAGAAATATGAAGGAAAGTGGAAGCCAAGTAATCATGTTCTAATACAGTTTATTTATTTATTTATTTATATATTTTTGCATTTTTGACATCGTGAAATTACGCAGTTGGATTAAATTTACATGATCGGTGTCGTCAATTAAGCAAACGACGCTTCTTCTTCCGGGCCATATGGTCTAAGTATCCTTTTCCTCCGTGTAAATCTTTCCTTTTTGCTTTAACATACTTTTATTGAATTAGAGTTTGGATTATGATGATACTGTTAGAATTTTCCTGGATACATGCTGCTGCTTTATTTTTAAGAAAGTTGCCCAGTCGGTGGTGGATTCATGCACAATAGGGCCTTAGAGATATGTTACAACTTTAAGTGTTGTAACTTCTACGATGCATTAGCTTTGAAGGCAGAATGCAATGCCTCAGACACGAAACTGATAAAAATCGACACTGCTGAGAAACAGAACCACATGGCAGCTTTCTTAGGTAAGTTCACATCTTGTATTCGTATCATGTGTTGCAAATATCAGTAAGTTACCTTTTCCTTCTACACATTGTTTTGTTCATTTCATTAGATAAATCGCTAAATTAGACAACGGGCTTGCCTTTTCCGCCTTCTCATAAATCCTGGGAGTGAAATATAACATGACGTAGCATGGTAACACTGGTACATATATGTATGTTTGCGACCGAGTTACATTTAATGTTTTTTATTATGGTTGACACAATTTCCCGTATGTCAGTATTAAAATTAGCATGAACTCAATCCACTAACATCGTGTTCATAACTCCTGTAGGTAAAAAATGTTGTCTTAAGATGTCTGTATATTCTTTCTGTCGTTTAGATAATTTCCGTCCATTGAATTCATTGCTTGTCATTTTTCAGAACAAGAAAGTACAGGATACACTTTAATCCAAGGTACACGTGATGAGAGTGGTGTGTACAGATATGATGATGGTACAATAATGACGTATTTTAACTGGGATGACGAGGACAATGAGCCTGAAGAGCGCTCAGGTGAGGTCTATATTCTGGTTAAGAAACAAACGCAGTTTCAATGGCACGACGCACTTCAACATGCTCAATACAATAGGTCTAATCTGGTCTGTGAAGCATCTGTTCTGTGACGGAGTAGTACTCACTTTCCCGGCAAAAACTATGTCATTTTGTAATGAGTGGATTTTGTTTTCTGTTGCCTTACTGAAAGAGTCATAATTACAACATACTTAACTATTTATGAACCATGTGTTTCGCAAATATGCTTCTATTTAAAACGTTTGCTTGATTCTGTTATAGTCACTGAAATATTTTTATGTAATTTTACAATGTATTGAGAACCAGTATACAAGTACATGTATCTTTCTATGTTTCTCTCGAATGTAATGGGTTGTGAACCTGTATGACTTGATGTATATTTTAGCTATCTCGAATGTAATGTACATGTATTAGGAACCTGGATATCATGATATAGTCATCCCGAAGATCTTTAACCTGTATATTTTGATGTGGTTATCTTGAATGCAACGTATGGTGAACTGGTATAATTATATGTATTTGTCGTAAATTGTATGCATTGTGAACATTGCTACATTGCTATAGTTTTCGGTCACATCAGACAAACTATACACACTTTCGGTGATGGTAAGATGTATTTATTTTACCGAGGACATACGGCCTACACGCACAGGACATAAACACATAATAAATATGAAGTTATTAATTTAAGACGTGAGAGACGTGACTAATTGATGTTGACAATTTAAGATAAGTTAAATATTATTGTAAGACAGTATCTTATCATCTTTGTTGATACAAATCAATTTGAAATACATTGTAGCAATGAGTTGTTATTGTCATTGTACAATGCGTAATGTATATAACATATCAGTAAAAAAAACAACAAAAGTCTTTATATGCTTGATTACGTATATTTTATCAGCATATATTCGTCTCGTTATTCCATTTCCAATATGTTGAAGATAGAGGGTAGAAATGGGATCATTCCTTAGTTTGAGGGTAGGACAGAAAAATCTTTTCCCTAAGAGGAAATTCCCGACAATCTAATCCTCGGCAAAGCCTCGGGGAAGACAGTTGTAAATCTTTCCCTTTGATCGAGATTTTTCTGGGGAAATATCTTATTGATCTGTAATGTATATCGTGATACAATTTATTCACATTCGGAACAACAGGTACGTCGCCAAAGATATCTCAAATGTGATGTACTGTGCATTCGGAACACGAGGTTAGTTCCTTCTTAAAGATGCACTTATTATAATTAGTTAATTTGACGTGAAGTTTTTGAAAACAACACAAATTATTGTCTCTCAGCATTAATTTTTTATTAACTTTGCACGCTGAAACACATCGTGTAACTATAATCCAAAGACTTATATCATAGCCAGTCAGGAAATTATGTGTGCCGATTCCATGACTTTACTGTCGCATTTATCAAAGGAATGATCAGTGTGAAGAATATTTGCACTTGGGTTAACCATTAATGAGATGACAATGAGTTGCCAGAACTTTTACAATGTACTATAATCATATATATCTAAACTCGGAAATAGTGAAGCGAAATTGCTAAAACAAGATTAAGCAGGTGATTTTCCTTACGGAATCGATTCTACAACACTTTCAAAACATGGTCTTAGCGTCTGTGGGTCCATCGTCCCTGTGTTGCCCTTATGCATTCATATAAATTTTAACTAATTTGTGCTCATGTTTTGAGAAAATTAGGTAAATCGAGACTCTTTGTGAAATATAACCAAAGTAAATTATTTGACAGCTTCAAGACGTGTTATGACTTTAGGAGCAGATGGACGCCAATATAATAAGTTTTAAAAGATCCAAAATATGATTATGTTACAACTATCAGCAGGTAAATGCCATCTTCTAATGAAAATGTCTGTGATCGAATTCCAGCCAGAAAACAAAATGGATAATGACACATTAGCACTTAAAAAGACATCATAAACGATCATAAATGTGACGTTACTGGGATCAGGAAGGCACGGATGTGATGTAAACGAAGTATTGAACAATCACAGTGAAATATGAGAAAGAAATGTGATTCTGAATACTTTGTGTCCTGAATATCGAAGTCCTCCATTTCTCATTTCGTGTATCATGTAAAAGCATTTTAATTTGCTATATGTGAAAATAAGAAGCTATGGTTTGAATCACGTGGAAACAGATGATACTGGACAATGATTAGCACACTGTATTTATTTGTTTTAAATGGTTATGTCTATGATTGATCGACATTATTTAGTGGTTCTATTGTACTCCTCGCTATCAACATATCGATTGTTTTATCTCTTGTTTTATATTCCTAATATGGTACCAATAACTTTTACGATATCCATTAGTGTTCATTGTGCTCTTCAGAGTGTTTGTCACCTTGGATTACTCAACCTTACTGACAAACCTATTTATCTAATATATCTTTTTTCTCTTAACAATGGTCAAATAGATAGCGCAAAATAATAGTAGCTGATATGTAATGCTCACCTTTATATTATAATATTCATTATACTACTGTATGATACTAAATAAACACCAATATGCCCAGATATGTTCATTAACAACCAAAATTAATAAACAGAATTATCCTCAGATTTAAAAAAATTAATGTTGTTTCTTAAAATTGCCTTCTTTCTATCAAACAATCTTTTGAAAGTACCAGAAAGATGATCAACAGTAGTATTTCCTTCTTATTTGTTTAAGTTCCAAAGTTTAATTCTTACACATGTTTGTTAAATCCATGATGAGTGTCCTTAAGAGGTCATGTCCTAAGCCAGAGCGTCCAGACCTATAATTACTCAATTGCTGTTGATGTTGTTAACTTGGCTTTTGAACACTGCACAACCTATTATTAAAATAGTATTGAAAGGCGCTGTACATTTGATTATCTGTTGCACAATACTTGGGCTAAATTTGATACTCAACCAATACGATTGTTCTTTTCTCTTGGCCTCTCTCGATCCCGGGATACATATGGAGCATAACAAAAAACACAAAATTTGATGATAGCTATGACACTAATGCGTGAGATGAAAAGATATAATGAGTATGAAGTTTTTAATATTTTTGGCTTTTCAGATTTGTATGCATGGACAATGATGTGGTTTGTCTTGGAATTCATTAGAATTTAAATTTTACTTCAATTTTACTGCAGACATGAAATGGTATGGAGTCACCTGTCCGACAAAGTGGGTTTTCAGAGGTACTCAGGTTTCCTCCCACAGTAAGACACCTCGGTACAAATATATACTTATACTATTTAAAGTATGCCTAACGCCAGAAAGAGTATGTTTGTAGCGATTGATTATTATGTATTTGAGGCAAACCGTGTACCAATCATTTCTTTGCTGTCTAGCTTTTATTAGCGTTCAAAACTGTATTTTTTGGAAACACGTTTGTACAATTTATCGACGCAGTTTTATATAAAAGCATCGTCTCATCTATTGCTGACTGCTTTCCCATTCTATGATATTTACAGATGTGATATCGCTGAACGTTACACCATGTGCGCACGAAGTTTTTTGTGCGTTGTAGCAGTTATCAAATGTTTCTTAATTTGATATGATACTTAAATTACAATAGCAAAAACACCACCAACATACAAAGTACGCTCAATAAAAAAAATGTCATAATTACATTTTGCCCATTGCATATGAATATGCGGTAAAAATGACAAAAGCAGTTACCAAGTTGTCAAAATTTCCCAGGCGAAAACAAGACGCAGATCGAAAAATGCACCGACACAACGAAAATTATGGGCGATTGGGTAGCCTTAAACAAAAACAAAACAAAAAAATAATATGCTGTTGTGATCTCTATGGTGACGCTGAGCAGAACAAAACACTTTTTCATATTCTTCTGTTGTATTCTGAAACGTAAGCTTGAATTAAGCTTTCAGAAATAGACACAATACCAAATATATAGTTGGAATTCTAATATATCTTTCGAAACCCCTAGATTCGCAGCGATCATGTTTCTTATATTTTCGATGAAAATCCATTGGATGCTGCAAATATATCAGCCCTCTCCTGAATGATTGCGACTTATAAAACCCACCATTCTACTGAAAGATGTTTTAGAACTGTAGAGTAACGTGTAATTATAACATTGTTTGCAAAAATTCAGGAGACTGACCGCGAAAAGTCACAGATAATTTGGCTAACTTGTAAGGACAAAAAACAGAGCAATTCGTTCTGAAAGCTATTACAACACTTGTTACTACTTGATAGGTTTTGGAATAAGGACGTTTCTATCGATCCCACATTGTCACTTTACACATACCAAGCCTCACCCTGTTTGGCAATTACAAACTCTCCTACAAAACAAATCTTCATCATCTGTGCTCACGTTTTAGTGTAAATCACGTATGTACTTGTATGATTGGGTCGAGGTCAAGTAATCTTAGAAGATCTCGGGATCGAAGGTAACAACTATCATTGGCAGAATTTTGAAATATTAGATACGCGCAAGAACATAGATCAGCCGAAAAGATAGTAAGACGCGAATATTTAGCTAGACCTACCCAGTAGTAATTTCTCGACAATCAAAATGTATTACATCTGGCATACCCTTCATTTTACATTTATCCTGACACATTTATCCTGACACATCTAATGTTACTGTTGAAGGAGTGATGCCCTGTGGAGACGAATACGAGATAGATTATATAACCTGTTGTGGGGTAAGAGGCCAATTACAATCCAAATTAAAAATATTGAAATTCGTCAAAATCACATAAATCTCTATTATAAACTTGTCTTGTGTTTGATGAAATAAAAGCCTTTGTGACTCTTAACAGTTTCATCTGGAAGATCAGTTGCTTGAATGTCAATGATACGTCTTCCGAGGAAAGAGCCTCATATGGAAAGCCGTCCCGCTGCTGTCGAGAGATATCAGCGAAAGAAATAATTGAGTGCTTTTAACAGAACTGAATATTGCGTAACATGCACCTTACTTGATAAGCCCCATAACTCTGCATGTTTTTTAGGTTTTCTAATTCAAAATGTACTGCCCTAAAGACCACACTCCCCCCTCCACCCGCCCCAACACACACACACACATCTGAGACCTTCCATCATCGCTACCATTGTACAGATGTAGCTGA